TCAAGTGTGGCGGCGATAGTGAGGTTGGCCAGGATCGGACATTGTTTCGTTCTGCTATGCATGGGGTTGCTATGAGTCGGTTCTGACTCGATGGCACCTGACAACAACAACAACATCATTATTGTGCCACGTTTCAGCACTGCCTTTCCAATGCAGAGAGGTATCCTGTTAAGAAAAGCTCTCTACAAAAAGAAATCATTCTAATCTTTAATCAACAGATAGTTTTATAAGTAATATTTAATATAGTCACATTATACATGTTGAAATTGACCTTTTTAAAAGTCAGTAAAATAACAAAATATGAAATGTCACATAAAACTAAATTTAATAATACAAATTTAACAGTCTTAATCTAATTTTTCTCATCTGTCAAATGAAAGGCATAGTTTAGACAGAATAGTTTGTGATTCCATGAGGGGATAAAGATAATTAATGAATGTTATGATATTCAACCTGGGCTTTGGAACTTGTGTAGGGTGGTCATAGGAGAAGGGAGACTGAAACTGGAGGCAGATTAAATATGAAATATGAATGAGATAAATAAAATCAGCACATGATAATTCTATTTCTATGTAACATAAATAAACATTAAGGAAATAGAATTTTTCAGTAATATTTGAAATAATAGGAAAAAATCAGCTATCTAGGAGTAAATATAACAAATGTCTAAAACCTCCACAAGAAAATTTATAACATTATTGGGAGAAATTAAGGGCTTGGCAGTAGATTATTTATTCTGCTTGCATAAAAACTGGTTTTAATTCCCAGCTAATATATTTCATATGCAGACACTAGCTATTCTTCAAGGAGCTCTGGTAACATAGTGGATTACAAGCTGAACTGTTAACCGAAAGTTCAACAGTTTGAATCTACCAGCCACTCCATGGAAGAAAGATAAGGCTTTCTGCTTCCATAAAGATTTACAACCACCAAAACCCTATACAGGGTGACTATGAGTCCAACTGACCTCACATCACATAACCACCACCACCACCAGTTCCTCAGTGGAGATTTGCATATTGCTATGATGGCACTGTGGGTTAATGTTCTGGACTGCAAAGTCTGTTTGAACCACAAGGTCGGCAGTTCAAGCTCACCAGCGACTCCTTGCAAATCCTGTACAGAGTCAGTATGGGTTGGAACTGACTCGAAGGCACTTAACAACAACAACAATGATGTGGAACAGTTTTCAGCAGAGATACCAGATGAAGATGACCTCAGAAAAAAGGCCTAGTTATCTACTTCCAAAAATTAGCCAGTGAATCATTGCAGTTCAATTGGCAACTGACCATGGGGGTGGCTAACACCCAGCAGTGTCTCTTCTGTAGTTCATGGAGTCACCAGGAATTGTGACCAATTTGATGGCCGCTAATACCCAAATATGAGAAGGGATATACCTTGGTATCAGCTTTCTAATGCCACAGTGAAGATGAATAATTAACTACCAAAAGCTTAATAGCTTTAAACGACAAGTATTCATATAGGTGACTTTAGGTGATTCTTCCGTGCTGACTTTCATATCACTGGTTGGTTGTAAGCTGGGGATTCATACAGCGTCTGTTAATTGGGATGACTAGGCTATAGGTGTTTTTCAAATCCTCCATAGGGTTAGCAAGCAAGTTCTCATCACAAACAGGGTGAAGCAAAATGGAAAATGGAAATGCATGAATGTTTTTGCAATTCTCTTCAGCAAGTCTACTAACATTTCTTTAATCATAGCTATTTACCTGGACAAGAACTATATTTCTCAGTAAGTAAAGTCACACAGCAAAGCTTGTGGACACAGGGAGGCACAAATGATTGAAACCATTAATATTATCAATCTAGTACAAACATTTCTGTTGACTTAAACTCAAACACATTGAGTAGATTCCAACTAACAGCAACCCTGTACTGGGTTTCTGAGGCTTTGTACAAGTCTTTGAGGGGGTGCAGAAAGCATCATTTTTTTCCCCACAGAAAGGCTGGTGAGTTTGAACTACAAACCTGTGTTTAACAACCCAGTGTCTATTCTACAGCACCAACAGCACTGCTGTCTGTGGACTGTTAAGTGCCACCGAGTCGGTGCTAACTCACAGTGACCTTATGCACAGCAGAACTGAACACTGCCTAATCCTCGACCAACCTCACTACTGTTGCCACACTTGAGCCTATTGATGCTGCCACTTTTCCAGTCCATCTCTCTGGGGGTCTTC